GCTGTGAGCGAGTGATTTGGCTACTGCATCAGTTAGTTTGCCTCTGGAGCCCATCTTGTCTCATCTCACTCACTCCCCCTCCCTATATATTATATAATCTCTCTCTGAGGAAATGGGAAGAGTCATGCTGCACCTAGCAAGGCAGAAGGCAGCCACTACCAGTAAATAATTGCCTCTTTTTAAACCTGTATTCAAATGCCCCCTAAAAGTCCAGCAAAATGGAGGCACCTGTTCACAGGGCATAAGGTGTTCCAAGAAAAGTGGTCCTACATCACATCTCTGTACTAACATCTGCTGGTGCCACTGTTTAGGAACACTTGGCCTCGCTTATGAGTACCAGCACTGAACTTTGTAACAAGAGACTTCATTACAACGACTACTACTATATTAGCATTCAGCAATATGAGTGAGGACCGGTTTACATGAAAGCAATTTGAAGCCTTTATATAAATACAAGAAAGGTGACCCGCGATACTCGCGGGGGGGGGGAGAGAAGAGCTCCACGCAGAGCAGGAGGAGGAGGAAGCAGCAGCAGCAGCCGGTAAGCCTCCCCCCCATCCCCGGACACCAGCGGCGTGGCCTGAGTGGCTGCCAGCCACCCTCCCTCCCCCAGGCTCCTTCACCCCCCTCCCTCAGGCTCCAGCAGCGACGCCTGAGTGGCCTTGCCAATCTCCTTCCCCACCCCCCCGCTCAAGCGGCGAGGCCTGAGCCCCGGGGACATGCTAGTTATAGTGCAAATCTATTATTTTGCTTTACAGTCTGGCAAGTCCACCAACGGGAGGGGAAGAGAGAACACAGACACAAAGAGATGCTCTCATCTCCTGGCTCCCAGTAAAACCACCCTAGCATAGCATATCATTATGCTTTAATAGCTGTTTTGCAAGTTATTTCATTGTTTATATTTACAAGTTTGTCCCATTAGGGAGACTGTAGTCTGTTGTTGGGCAGTCTTGGGACCTCCATACTGAAGGAGAAAAGCAGAGTGGTATGGAGGAAGAAAGATAGAGCAGGGGTTACAAGAGGGATACATTAATAACATCCAGGGGTTGTTTTGTAGAAAAAGAGCTAGGGGAACTCATTAGCATAACTCATTAGCATATGCCACACCCCCTGACATCACCGGAAGTGTGTCATAAGGCCACACCCCCTGACATCACCGGAAGTGTGTCATAAGGCCACACCCCCTGACATCACCGGAAGTGTGTCATAAGGCCACACACCCCGGTCCCAACGGTCCCGGCCGCCGCCGCCAGCCTTGCAGCTCCACTGCCGAGCCCCATGAGGGGCCCGGTGGTGGACCTGCAAGGCCGGCGGGAGTGCAAGGAAGCCCTGCCAAGGCCCTCCCTGGCCCCAGGCAGGCAGGGGTGGGGAGAGGCAGGGAGGAAGCAACTTACCCTCCCTCTTTTCCTGCCTCCTCCTGGCTGAATGAGGGCCGGAAGCGGGGCAGCCGGAAGCAGGGGGCGGGGCTTCGTCATGTGCCCCGCCCCCGTACCTCACCCGGGGGAACTGCAATCCCCCGCAATCCCCCTGAAATTACCTCTGATAACATCTGATTTAACAGTCCTGCCCGTAGCAAGTTTCAAAACGTATACAAATATTTTCATTCTAGGGATGCCAGGCTCCAGGAGGGGGTGGGGGATCCCCCGATTTTTCCTGCTTCCCCACAGCCCCGTTTAAAAAGAGTGGGGGACATGCGCACTTGCCCTCCAAGCAGAAGCAAGGGGCTGCCTGAGCCTGCCCTGCAAGTGGCAAACTCACCATTTCCATGGCAGGCTCGTTTTACACAGGGGCCACTTAACCCTGCCCTGGAAGCAACAAACTTGCCACCTGCAGGGCAGGTGCATGTGGCGCCTGCTCTTTTGAAACAGCAGCCCTCCACTTCTGCCCTGCAAGGGGCAAAGTTTCCCTTTAAATGGTTGGGGGAAAGTGGGGGGGTATGTGTGTGAGGCGCTGCTTCCTTTTTAAAAATTTTATTTTAATTATGTTTTAGTTTAATTTATTTGCTTCCTTGATGTGATGATATCACTCTGTGTGATGTCATCATAATGGGGACAGCCCTGCCCCCTCCCAGCATGCCCCCAAATCTCCCTACCGGGGAGAAAATGGAATCTGGAAACCCTATTTCATTCCTGCCAGCTTTCCAATGAAGTATCACTCTCAGTTTCTAAAGATAGTGGTCTTGAAAATGTAGGGAGCAGCACAGAATGTAATTGAGTGGACCAATAATGTTTTGAAATATTTATTTATTTATTTATTTCAATAATTTCAGTTTATATCCCCGCCTTGCTGGTGCAGCAATATCTGTTAATTCTACAGAATATCAGTTTCAGAGGACTTGGGGAGAGATTGGAATTGATCCAATATTTTCTATTAGTAAGATAAATGTTTCATTCTGTGAGTATTCAGTATAGCAGGTTCTGATCTAGACTCAAGACCAGCTTGATTTATGGATCTGCCGGGAGAGTGGAGAAAATAGACTTGGCAATATCTTTCATTAGCATTCAGATTTCAAGCCAAAGTAATAGGTACATAGTTGGTTCATTCAATGCAAAACCTACATATATGGCTCGAACTTATAACACAGAATGTATAATTGAGACCTGTGGATCGCTCACCTACACCTTCCACATTCTGCAACCCCTCCATGCTAAAGAGAATCCTGTGCTACTCAGGTTTGAGTAAATCTTACCTGACTCTCCTAATCCTTGCAAGGAAAATATCACGGTTGGGCCAGTAGTGAGAATGTTTGCAGAAACTGTTGCTCAAGATGAAGGAAACAGACAGGGTGTGTTGGCTTAAAATGGAGAATCCAGTACTATTTGCATCCTAACCTTTGTGGTATTTAATAAAAAAGTCATGCTTTGATTTGTAGAATCTAATTATTTCCTTCTTCAGCACAGAATAACAAGCCTCTTTACCTTTTTTTTGCTCACATTTCTATCTCAGATGCTGGGAAGGGGGGGGGTTGATAACTCAGACATGCTTCTTTTCCCTCAGAATGATATAACTGGGGCTATTTTTGGGCAGGAACGCACAGGAACGGAGTTCCGGCTCGCTCCCAAGTTGGCCACGCCCAGCAGGAACTCATTAGAATAATAGGCCACACCCAACAGCAGAAACTCATTAGGATTGGCTACATTAGGGGTGTGTGGCCTAACATGCAAAGGAGTTCCTGCTACAAAAAAAGGCCCTGGGTTTTGACAACAAACAAGGTAAACAGAATAACAAGCAAAAGGTGGGTGTGGCTGGATGACCACACTTCTGGTAACATGGGGGTGCAGCCTAATGTGCTAATGAGCTGTGCTGTCAGGGGTGTGGCCCAATATGCTAATGAGTTCCTGCTGTTGGGTGTGGCCTATTATGATAATGAGTTCCTGCTGGGCTTTTTCTACAAAAAGATCCCTGGGTATAACTGGTTTACAATCCCAAAATATAAATACCCTGGGGGCTTGATCCTGTTATTTTAGGGAAGGGAGACATACTTTGAACCATCAGAGAATGAAAAAAGACAGGATGCCCACCCTCGATTAAAGATGTGATATATTCTGTACCTTGGTTAGGTCTGCTAGGACCCCACCCCCAGGTCCTGTTGTTGGCTGCTGCTACAAGCAGTGGCAGAAGAATATATATTTTTTTAAAATGCAGCATTGTGTGCTTACTGGAAATGATGAAGGGTAGTTCTAGGAATCGTCAGGAACTCTATGGAAATCTTTTACCATATAGTTTCTGGTGATTCCTAAAGCTACTCTTTGTCACTTCCATTAAAAAAAAAAATCTCACACAATGCTGTGCCCTCCCAAACCCTCCCACCGATTGCCAAGAAACTGCCTGACAACCCTAATCCTGGTACATTTCAAGACTTCCTAACCTCAGCAAACTGTTTCTATATATCTACCTGCCTGCCTTTGTAGAGACACTATGAGGTCAGTGGGCACTGATTTTTGCCATAAATTGCAGGGCAGAAAGTGGGAACAAGGCACCAGCCTGGCCTGTTACGCCTGGTCTTTACTTCTGGCAAACTGCAATATGCCCTAGAATGCTACACACTGCAGGGTAAAGGTCATTAATGGTGGATAAGGTATCTCCCTGCTGAGACTGCCTGCTGAATTTGCCAAGGAAGCCCAGGATTACCTAGAGCACAATTTGAAAACCACTATCTATATGCCCAGTGTCTCTGCTAATAAATCACCTTTTAAGCATCAAGTGAAACACCATAGACTTTCATCACAGCTACACAAAGGGTGCGTTCAGATGGCTCTTTAGATATGTGCTAGGCACGACTGCCTCATGGATTTAAATGTAATCTCCAGACATCAACATCTGGGAAATGTCCATCTTCCGTGAGCATCCCATTTTGCCACACCTCAGAGCCATACTAAAAAGATACTACTTTAAATCTGGAATTTTTGGTTCCAATGGGCCACTCACAGACTTTCCCCCATCTGATCGTTTCAGCGTGCAATTAAAAATGGAGCCCGTTCAGGATGGTCTGATGTCAGACCATTTTTTTAAAATCTTGATTCTGCACATGTGTGGATAAACAAGGCTGCGATATCATGCCTATGCGCAAAACATTTTTTTTTTAAAAAAAACCCACTGCACGCGCCTCCTTCAGTGGACGCTGTCTAGACGATCCACAGCGGAAGCAGCACGCGGTAAGGCGATTCCCCCGAGGGATGTCTGGTCGTACGAGGATGGATTTAAAAGATTGGGATCAAATTTGAGCCGGCATAATGGTGGGATTAGCTGTACGTCTGAATGCACCCATATACTACTTTGGGGAAAAAACACCTTATCTCCAAAAAAGAGGGGGGAATGGGAGTTACAATCATCAAATGAAAAAGGTGCATTACACTCTTATGCTTTATTTTAAGGATTATTTTTGTGAAGTTTTGTATTAGCATTCCAAAACTGCAATATGGAATAGTTTACACATTTGAATTCCCCCCCCCCCAAAAAAAACAGGCATTTAGTTAAACAGACAGATAAAAGTGTCTTACGGCTAGAAATGCAGTAAGCCAGCTTGCAATTGATCTTCCTGAATAGTTGTTTGTTGAATGGCCAGAGAACTAGTGTGCAGAGCTGGATGAAGTTGATTATAAGTCCTGATACTATAAATATATAACTGATAAGAAGGTGGGAAATGAACTGAGACTTCAGAAACCCAATGATGTCCATGGTTTAAGGCGGCAAGGCAAAGCTTCCAGAATGAAGGTAATCCAGGGATTCTGAAAAGTAACTGCAAAGAGAAGAGAGATTATTAGAAAACTGTTTGTTTTTAAAATGTTAGATACTACAGTTAATCTTCTTCTCTAGCAAAGGTCATAAAATTATTTCCATTTCATTCCCATGGCAAGGGAAGACAGGCAAAATAGGGACAGTGGGAGAAAAGAATTTTCATTCTGAAGATTTTCATTCATAGCAACTCTGGGTTGGGAAATACCTGGAGATTTGGGGGGGGGTGGAGCCTGAGGAGGGTGGGGTTTGGGGAGGGGAGGGACTTCAGTGGGGTATAATGCCATACAGTCCACTTTCCACAGCAGCTATTCTTCCAGGTGAACTGATCTCTGTTACCTGGAGATCAGTTGTAACAGCAGGAGATCTCCAGTCACCACCTGGAGGTTGGCAGCCCTAATTTATACCCTACCTTTCATGGGAATTCAAAGCTGCTTACATCATAGGTTGAGAGTATGTGACTGGTCCAATGTTTCTCAGCAAGCTTCCTTGGCAGGGTAGGGATTCAAATAATAGTCTCCCAGATCCTAGGCTAGCACTCTAACCAGTACACTATGCTGGCTCTCCCAAGTCAAAGAAATTACATCAGATCACAGAAGCGGAGTTTAGAATCCTACTCCTAGTCTCATTTGTTAGCTTGGGACATATAAACTTGTATCACACCAGGTTAAACTTTACCCTTTTAAGGCTAAGATCCAAAGGATGGGTCCGTAATATGAAGAACTACACGATGCAGAGCAGGAGATTTGCTTGTACTCTTCACTGCAGCAGTTTCTTTTGCTAATCAGACAAGGTGTACTGAAAACTGCTCAGAGGTTTGTGTTTGGGGGCATTAGGAAATAACTGATGCTGAGAAAACTGAAATGAAATTCCAGCTACACAGGCAGTTCTCATCTTCGGCTTCTAAGTAGTTAGAACAACTGGTTTCTATGTCTCTCCCCCCCCCGTCCATGGCTGTGGAATATCTTCGCTGGCCACTGGAGGAGAGTGGGCTGGGAGGTGGAGAAAGATACAAGCCACGCTTGTCACCTTCTCCTCTCCTTCTCTCCCCAAGATTCCCCTGCTGATTTTGGTACCCTAAGTCACCACACCTGAGTGGTGAACCAGCTCTATATGTTATATAAACAGTATTCAGATATATGGAGATGGGCACTTAATAGCAAAGAAATCAAAGAATGCTAGTTAGAAATCAACCCACAGAATGAGCCCTCCTATTAACTCTGGAGTTGTATAGAAAAATTGCTTTCTGCTTTCTATATCCACATGCCTTCTCCAGTGATGTCTTTTGATAACATGCTGTGTCTTGTTTCCTGTTGCAAGCCAAATGGTGGGGGCCACATGGCCTCAATAGCCATGCCATAAACCCACATTCTTTCACACTTTCATGCCAAACACCAGACCTCATGGCTACACTTTCTGGCCTACGTGCGACCAGTCACGTACAAAATGAAGTAGCTGGAGTTTGGGTCAGCTGACTGCAGGCAGGGTCTCCAAACTTCCAGCCAATCCCACAAACCTGATGTTAGCAACCATGGCAACCAACAATTGGGCACACCCATACCCACTCGCAATTGGCTAATAGCCACATCTAATTTGTGACTGGAATTGGACTATAATTGTTTGATTCCTATGGGAATGAGCTCTCTCTTGCTCTTGTTCTCTTAGCTCTCACTTCCTTCTCTTGTCGTTGCCTGTTTTATGACACCTGGAAATGCTGCCTCTTGAGAGACAAAGAGTTGCTTTGTGACTTGGAGCACATGTTGTGCAGAGATGGGATTCCTACTCAAAATCCCTTGGTGCTACCTGGATTATCACCATGGACAATCTTGAACTCTTGGATGCTATCCTGATCTTGGTAACTATGAATCTTTAATGTGTAGTTAAGGCAAATTGCCCTAGCCTTTGTTATTTTTGTAATCTTTTATAGTCTGTTGCTGTGCTCTGTACTGAATAAAGATCCTCCTGATTGCTAAATTGGTTTTGATGTTGTAATTGAATTCCAAGCCTAAATCTTGTGGCCTAAACCCTCACCATATACGCTACTATTGGAGAGTAAAGTGTGCACCTCTGGATAGAGTTGCTATTGTGTTAAATCCCAGGTGCTAACTAAGGGTTTGGAATCTCTCCCTTAGGAAAGGCAAGGACTAGTTAAAAGAGGTTCTGGTGGCACGTTGTTCTGAAACCAGAGAGGGTATAGACCATCTCATGGTTTGTTGTTTAATGTACTGTAAAAGTACAGGGTTCCTTCCCATTCCTGGACTGGCCTGGGTGGGCTAACCCTGTACAGAAGTTCTCACTATATGGACAGTATGCACTGCTAAGAGAGCAAGAAGAGGAACTGCTGAGTACCCTAAGATGGTGGAATCTTGAGAAAAAGATGACATAGTAGAGCCCTAATGAAATCCACTGCTTTATGCTAAAACTTTGTTAAGTTCAATCAGTAGTAATGGATTTAACACAATACCCAATACACTGTTGAAGTAAATGGAGGAATGACTTGAAATCTGTTGCTCTTCAGTTAGGCACTTATTTCCATCTACAGTTTAATACACTTTTAAGAAAAACTAAACATGTAATTAGTATCCCATGAGTATTTTAAAAGGAAAACCAATTGTTCTAATTGTTTAAAATGTCATTTCATTTCTAATGAAAGAGCAGGGAGTGAGGGTGTCATTTTGGAATAAAACTTTCCCTCTCCTAAGTGTAATCAGCGGCACTTTAAAGCATCTCCTGAATTACTAGGCGGCTCAGCTGCAAACATGATTAGACTCAGTTTCTGTTATTGACAGGGATGTACAGAATTACTGTACATACAAGACCTTGGTTTGTTTCTGTTTTTTTGCCTAGAAAGCTGGTTGCATCAGTGGACACTTAATTTACAATAGCTAGAAAACAAATCCATCTGTGGACATGACAACTTGCTTCAAAAGCATATTCAAAAGCACCTGCATAATATCCATTTATAGCTCAGCAGCTATTTCTGGCAGTCTTTCCTGAATAAATGCCAGAAAATCTGCTTCTTACTTTATTTAATAAAAAGTGTAAAATACTTTCTTTTCTAGTAAGTAAATGTCCAAAATGCCACCTTGTGACAGTTGGTACAGGATTTATAAAAGGAATAATTAAAGCCGAGTAGAGCATTTGTGCAGATTACTATTTATTTCCCTCGAAATAACCCTGGAAACTCCTTATTACATAGATTTGCTGGCACAACATGACAACAGCTGCAGATAGGTGGGGCCTTAAAGTCTCCTTGGAGATTCTGTCAAGCCTTGCTTCTGCACAGCTCAAGAAGAGGTGTCTCCTTACTCTGGCACTGGGAGAAGGGCACCTGATATGCTCAGCAACCACTCTAGACTGCAGAAATTTACAAATCCTTATCACAGAGGGCTATATTAACCACAGGAATCAACAGCTACAGTGTGAGGGTATTTTGATCACACTAGTTTAACTACTGTGATCAGTTTGGCCAATCCTGCATCAATGCACATGGACAGAAAATGATTTCTTACATATTAATGAAATCTCTTATTTTTTAAAATGTTATAAACTGGCATAAGGATGGACTAATTTAAAGCAGTTGTTTCCAGTATCTGAATAGGTGCTTCCTGAAGCCTTTAGGAAACAAGTTGTTGTAGGTTCCTCTTGTATGTTTTGAGTAAGTAAATGCTTTGATTAAATGTTTTGATTATTTAGAATTTAACTGTCCTTGTTTTTGCTGTCCGTAATAAGTTAAGCTATAAACCTTGAGCTGCCATGCCAACTCACCAGTTTTTCTAGTGCATGAATAGTTTGCTCCCTTACTGCCAGATGAAGTCCTCCTGCCCCCCATACAATGGCAGGAATACGAAGGTGATGTTTAAAAAATCCTATTTAGTGCCTTCTAAGACCAACAAATGTAGACTTGTAGCCAACTTTTGCTCTAATTTTCAGCCAATGGTTTTCTAGATCTCGGAACACTGTCACTCTTAGATCATCTTTACTGTTTTTCCTTTCCGTCCCAATATCACCTCAGCCAGAGAAAAAGTGAACAAGCACATTTCCTTGTGCTTTTGTGCTATGTAATAGTTGAAACTAGAGGTTTTTAAAACACTGAATGGGTTTGCGGCTGATTAATTAAAAAGCTCTGGCAAATCAAGATACTAGGAAACTTCCATCTAATCTCATACACCTACCATCTAATCACACACAACTTCTATCGAATCATACCCAGAAGTCCCATGGACGAATGGGCCTTTTTTACCATCAAGTCACAGCTGACTTATGGTGACCCCGTGGGGTCTTCAAGACAAGAGACTTTCAGAGATGGTTTGCCATTGCCTGCCTCCGTGTCACAACCCTAGTATTTCTTGGTGCTCTCCCATATGACTGAACAGAACTGCAAACTAGAATATATGCAACTGCCGGGGGGCAGGTTCCTCCTTGGAGAGAAAAGGAGAATGTTGTTAGGTCCTGGGTTTGTATGCTAAGCCACATTCTACTTACACTGCCCAGCAAGCAAGCAGTACTAGACCAGGCCCTCGTGTGTATTTGTTCACAGTCCAGAAAAACAAAAAAAAAACAAAGGTTTCAAAAGTTTCACCTCCTGGTTTAGACTTCTGGAGCTGAGCTGCCAAGAAAAGTCTGTATATGTGGCAGACTGAGCCAGATTGGGGGGGGGGGGTAGCTCGCCAATAACTAGATTAACCATTACACTAGTCATATAGTCCAAGACTCACAGTTCCTCAGGTCAGTCATGAAGCCCACTGGCCGAATTTGGTGTAAACTAAAACAGTCCAGTGGCACCTTAAAAGTCTAACAACATTTATTCCAGCCTGAGCTTTTGTGGGTCAGAGATCACATCCTCAGATGCAATAAGGAGAGCAACCAAGAGAGTTTACCTTACTTTGCTAGGTTGTTGTGAAGAGTTAGAGACGGATCCTTGCATGCCACCCTGAGCTCCTTGGAGAAATGTAAAAAGCCATTTTTGAAAAGGAGAAAGTACAATGTGTGAAAGCTCCTTGG